ATTGTCAACTTCCAACGACCGGCCACTGTACTTCTTATCTTCAAGGCTCTCATCTCATTTGCAAAACTTCTTGAACCACTGCTGGACTGTATGTTCGTTAGCAGTTCGTGGGCCAAATGTATTGTTGATGTTGTGAGTTGTCTCTGCTGGCTTACAACCCATTTTGAACTGGATTAAAAAAAAAAAATCCCTCGTGTCTGCTTTTTGTCTAACACCATTTCTATAGTCTAAAATATAAAATAAACAGCAAACAATGCCATTAGCCAAAAATCATAAAGCAAGAAGTGTTCATTAAAATGATGTATAACATAGCCGCATTTATTTAAGAATGTATTCCACCATCAAACAGCAAAGTTCAACAATACAAAACTGCAATTACTTTTAGTTGTTATTCAGTCGCTCAGTCATGTCCAAGTCTTTGCAACACCATGGACTGTAACACGCCAGGCTTCCCTGTCCTTCAGCTTCTCCCAGAGCTTGCTCAAACATGTGTCCATTGAGTCGGTGATGCCATCCAACCATGTCAACCTCTGTTGTCCCCTTCTTCTCCTGCCTTCAATCTTTCCCAGCATCAGCCTCTTTTTTCTAATGAGTTAGCTCTTCCCATCAGGTGGCCAAAGTATTGGAACTTCAGCTTCAGCATCAGTCCTTCCAATGAATATTCAAGATTGATTTCCTTCAGGATTGACTGGTTTGATCTCCTTGCAGTCCAAGGGGCTCTCAAGAGTCTGCTCCAACACCACAGTTCAAAAGCATCTGTCCTTTGGTGCTCAGCCTTCTTTATGGTCCAGCTCTTACATCCATACATTATTGTTGTTTAATTGCTCAGTCATGTCCAACTCTTTGCAACCTCATGAACTGTAACCTGCCAGGCTCCCCTGTCCATGGACTCTCCAGGCAAGAACACTGGAGTGGCTTACCATTACATCCATACATGACTACTGGAAAAACCATGGCTTTGACTAGTTGGACCTTTGTCAGCAAAGTAATATCTGCTTTTTAATATGCTGCCTGTTTCTGTCATAGCTTTTCTTCCAAGGAGCAAGCATCTTTTAATTTCATGGCTGCAATCACCATCTTCAGTGATTTTGGAGCCCAAGAAAATAAAAGTCTCTCACTGTTAACATTGCCATGAAGTGATGATCTTCGTTTCTTGAATGTTGAGTTTTAAGCCAGCTTTTCATGCTCCTCTTTCACTTTCTTCAAGAGGCTCTTTAGTTCCTCTTCACTTTCTGCCATAAGGGTGATGTCATCTGCATATCTGAGGTAATTTATATTTCTCCAGGCAATCCTAATTCCAGCTTGTGCTTCATCTAGTCCAGCATTTCTCTTGTACTCTGCATATAATTTAAATAAGCACGGTGACAGTATACACAGCCTTGACGTACTCCTTTCCCAATTTGGAATCCGTTGTTCCATGTCTGGTTCTAACTGTTGCTTCTTGTCCTGCATACAGATTTCTCAGGAGGAAGGTAGGGTAATCTGGTATTCCTATCTGTTGAAGAATTTTCCACAGTTCGTTGTGATCCACACAGTCAAAGGCTTTAGCATAGTCAATGAAACAAGTATATGTTTTTCTGGAATTTTTTTTCTTTTTCTGTGTTCCAACGGATGTTAGCAATTTGATCTTTGGTTCTTCTGCGTTTTGCATCAACCTAATAACATATAACTCACTGTCTTTTTCACTTTGATTATCATTTGTGTGATTGAATGTGTCCTTTTGTGTAAATTTTGATGGCTGGATACATTGGATAGATTTTGTGTAAACTCTAAGATCTTATGAGGAAACTTGGCTTGTTCAAGGTCACGTGCTAGTGAGCGACAAGGTAGTACTCATATATTTTATTTTCTGTTTGAGTGTCCTCTTTGATAGATCACACCATAGCCATTTATCAATATGTTGACACCTTAGAACAGCTTTAATACATTTCTTTTTTCTTCACTGCAGATCACATCAACACCATAACTTTAACTTGTTTCTGATTATAAAAAAATAACACTTGAAAAATAAGAAAGAAAGAAGAAGAACATGTAAAACACAGGTTATTATATTCCTCTCATGGAAATAACCACTTATATTTATTGTGTTACCTCTTAATTTCTTTTTTCTCACTGTAGAACTCTTCGCTTACCATGGCATACAGGTATTTTCCCTGTGCCCATCTTACCACTTTTCTTCTTCATGTTTTAGAATACATGTATAGTAAAGCAGCAGCTAAAGAACGATAAACTAACTTCCTACAGAAAAATGAAGGTACTTTCAACTGTATCTTTTACAACTAAAGAGTTCACAGCTAAAAGAAACAGGTGTTGGTCCTACTTGCGGTTTTCTTAGAGAGGATCGATGCTTACGGTGTCCTCCAGTGTGGCACAGTTGGGGAGAGAGCAGGCTTTGAAATCAGGCCTGCCTGAGCGAATCCTGGTCCCATCACCCCTAGCTGTGTGACGTTGGACGGTCACTTAAACTCTCTGACCTTTGGTTTCCTCAACTTTAATGGGTCTGCCTTTCAGGGTTGCCATAGGTTAGAGACAACAACCGACAATAGAGTGCCTGGCCGCCTCGGAATGGGTAGGCAGAGGTGCCATGGCACTCAGAAGCAATCTAAGGCTTAAAACCTGTCCAAATTAAGCAGAGAGCACCGTCTCACCAGCAGCTAACTCTGTTCTAAAACTATTTGTATAATTTACCATTTCCCTTTACTCCTGCAAATATAATTACTGGCAAAAGAGGAGTGGAAAATGATGAAAAGTGAAAGTGGCGTGAAGATGATTTCTGATTGGCAGGAGCCTTAACTCTGAGCTGCAGCAGCCCCTGTCCAAGTGGCGGTGTTCCCTTCATCTTGGGACACCCTTACAGGATGAGCTGGGTTAAGTTTTGCAGATTAGTACCCAAGGGACATTCCTGCTCCAAGGCAGTTACTTGTTGAGGCAAGAGATCCAATTTAGAGAAAGCAAAGGCCCTTTCAAGGAACTTAAAAAAATTTCAGGATAAAAATAGCTTTAGTAACAACCTATTGTGGGTGATGGGGCAGGGGGGATAGATTCTGAAACCTTAAGTTGTTTATTGAATAGACAATAAAAGTGACAAATTGCTATTGCTTTTAGCCAGTAAAAAGTCAATACCCAGGTGTGTCTGAGGAAAAACAACACTAATCTTTATTTCCACACTAGCTGCAGAATTGGAGGAATCTACAGGCCGTGGTTTCCATGTCTGATTTAGGATGAATCCAAGATGTAGACACATCCCAGATAAGAATGCAAGGAGGGTGGTGGTGAAGTGTTATAATAGGTACAAGTATGGAGTGAAGCAAGTAGTTAATTCTTATAAGAGAAAAAGGAGGTCGTCCCCAAAGAAGTGATACCTAAGTGGATCTTGCAGGATGAACAGAAGTTCACCAGGCAGGATAACAACCTTCCAGGCTTAGAAGACTGTATGAGCAAGGCACAGGGTGTGTAGTATAATGCTGTTCAGGGAATGAAAAGGAACAGTGTGGTGTGTGGGGCCTGAGGAGGGTGGAGGAGAGGATGAGCTGCAAGCCACTGCACTAGTATGACATTGGACTTTTACCAGAGACAGCAAGGTTTTTATTTCCAGTGAAATGTTGGGAATGTTATATGATTAGTAAATGTGGAAAGAATAACATAGCCATCAAATATAAAATAGTAATTTTTAAAACACAGAAAAGGCACTCAGCTTGCTGAAACGAAGCCATTTTTTAGGAAAGTGGACAGTGTCCTATTCCAGTCCTGCTAGTAGACAGATGCATCAGAGAAGAGTTAACTCCCCACCACACATCAGTGATGCATTGGCCTAATAACCTGTGGACCACACAGCTGAACCATGTGCTGTGACTTGTCACATAAAGCGTTAAGCCCTGTATGCCCTCAACCACGGATGCTCGTTCAGCTTTCAGAATTCACCATTGATTTGGTTAAGGCTACCTTTACAGAGAGAGGTTTAGAGAAAGGCAAATATATATATACATATATATATATATATAGAGAGAAATATATTTACTTAACATACACATACGTTTCTCTTTCAAAATTAGAACAGTGATAATAGACACTTTGGTTAGGGGCTCAGGCAGGAAATACTCGAGTAAATAGAAGAGGTGATAAGAGTAAGACTCATACTGTTGTTACTGTGTTGTTTTCTCCTAATGCTTTCCTGATTTTCCCTTTGCTTAAGCACTAGATGGGGGTCCCAGATTCAAGGACCATGGAGAACACCTTCTGATTCTGAAGTTAGGAAAGCAGGATCGGGTGCCAGCCATAGCATTTCCTAAACACCTGCCTCATTTCAGACAAGTCTCTCTGCTTTTCTAGTCCGTGGTCCCTCACGTCCCTGTGAGAGGAATTTCGAGTAGGTTCCACAGCGGGTTTCAGAGCTGCTCCATGAGCCTCTGTGGCAGATGAAGTGAGGCCTCCTGCCGACCTTTCCCCTTCCAGCAGAGCAGCTTTGCTCTTGTTTGCATTATGAATAGGGCTTTTACAAGCTTTTTTAGTAAAAGGATTCTGTCTCTTTTTAAGTATTTGAAGAAAGCAGAACTAGCTATTTCATAAGGCATATCCAGGTTAGAAACAGTTTCTACATCTGGAGGATGGGATAACAGTTGTTTCATGTCATAGCATCTGGGGGTCGGACAAGATACTGCATGTGAGACAGGACACAGAACAAAGGAAGCATTCAGTGTGTTAGCTATTAGCCATCTCCGCATAGATCCCTCACAAATAAGACTGCATTTCATATGACTCTTCAACTTTGAGTATGAGATGTTGACCTGAAAAAGAATTGCTGTATTCATTTGTTTTATATCAGAAGCACTATAAGAATGCCTTGTACATGTTCTCTGAATTTTTAGTACAGCCATTTTATTTCTGTTTCTAGTACATTGCTCTTTCTCTCCCGCAAAGGAAAGTTTTCTCCTTATATCAGATTTTTGAAATACTTCCCGGCCTGATGGAATGATGAAGTTGCACAAATCTGTGTGTTTCAGTCTCTCTAGCTTGTGGGAAAATGACATCAGCGTACACTCCCTCACCCTGCCCTCTACAACCTGCCTGGAGCTGCTGTTGATACTGTCGAGGAGTAATGCTGCACTGCCTCCATCCCTCCGCTGTATGAATTCTTTCCAGGTAAGGACTGTCTCCTTGAGGGTGTCATTTCTCAGTTTGACTTGTCATTGTGTTTTAAGGATCCTGACTTTCATAGGAACAGCCCATTTTTCACATGATCGTAAGCACAATGCAAGTATTGCCTTATCTGTCTGATTCTAAGTGAATGGACAAATGGAGCCTCAAAACTGATGTGATTGTCGAGTAGCGGCCAAACCCATATCTCCCTAACCCCAGGATTGGTTCTGTTCATCTCCATCTTTCCTGCCTCCAAGAGAAAAAGCAAGAACATTCAGCAAAGATACTTGTGAATAACACTTCCCTTTTCCCAGCTTTGCCCTAAAACAAGAATTTTCAGCCATCATTAGTGTCGTCTGCTTTTAGCTTACAGTCACATTGCTGAATGGAGGATTAACAGTGATCGTGTTCTACCCACTCTCTTTTCCTCTGCCGCAGTCCCTCCCTCCCTCTGGGTATTTATCTGTGCTCCTGGTTTTGGATGTGGTCAAACAGAACATCACATGTAGACTGACCAGTAGGAAGACCCCCTCCCTAGTAAGCAGCTAGTTGTCACCAAGGTGGCATATGAGAATTCAGATGTTGACTAGTTACTTCAGGTGTGACCCTGTAGCTACCAAATGTTATTGAGCTTATCTCTAACTCTCAGCAACGGAAAAATATTCCTGAGCCCTCTAAGGCTGGTGAGCAGGCCACATGCATTGCTGAGAAATGAGTGAGCCTGGGTGATTGTTTCTACTTGTGAAGAGTTGCTAATGCCCTAAAATAACTTCCGAATTAGAGGATATTGCTTGGTGCATCTCTGTGTTAAAACAAGATGTGGATTTTCCTGTGAATTACAGCTCAGGAATTTAGTTAAAATTAGTAATAATAATAACTTCCATAATAATTTGCATCTGTAGTCTCCTGGAATTTTGTTACATTGATTGTCTTTGTAGTTGTCTTCCTGATAACACATTTCAGACTTTTTCTGTGGCATACCTGTTTGTATTTATCATTACTTAACTGTTAATTCCAAGTTCTTGGATTCAAGGACCGTAGAGAACAGATTCTGATTTTATAGGAGAGGAAACTGAGATACAGAGAGATGGAGTCACTTGGCCAGGGAACAGCCAGCATGTAAGAGACAGAACTGGACTTGCCAGGCTTGTGATAACTGAGTGGTCTCATCTACCTTGGAATGTCCACTACACCCCTTGAAGCTTAGTCACTCACTCATGTTTGACGCTTTGTGACCCCATGGACTGTAGCCCGCAAGGCTTCTCTGTCTATGGGAATCTCCAGGCAAGAATACTGGAGTGGGTTGCCGTTCCCTTCTCCAGGGGATCTTCCCAACACAGAGATCAAATCCGGGTTTCCCGCATTGCAGGCAGATTCTTTACTGACTGAGCCACTGGGGAAGACCTAATTATGTACTAATTTATGTATAATTTATGTACACTCCTTTTATGTACTAATTTATAATTAATTAGTACTAATTTATAATTATGTACTTATTTATAATTATTTATTTTTATACTTCCCTGCAGGGCTTCCCAGGTGGTGCTAGTGGTAAAGAATCCACCTGCCAGTGTAGGAGATTTAAGAGACGTGGTCTGATCCTTGGGTTGGGAAGATCCCCTGGAGGAGAAAATGGCAACCCACTCCACTATTCTTGCATAGAGAATCCCGTGGACAGGGAGCCTGGTGGGCTACAGTCCGTGGGGTCACAGAGTCAGACATGACTGAAGCAGCTTAGCATACGGGCACACATACTGCCCTGAACCGGAACTGATTTGAACTTCTATGTATCAATCCATATTTCTTCTAAGTTTTGCTCCTTGGATTAATACTGGAATAACACAGAAGTTTGCCCACAAACTTTTATGGGAGATGCAAGGAACTTAATAATGGTTATCTTTGGGGAGCGAGGCTGGAAGACAATTATGTTTTATTTCACTCCCTCCTACACTGTTGGTTGTTTTTATATGACAGGTGAGTGGGGAGCAAAAGAGATGACTCGGACTTGGAGGATTTTACAGCCTATTGGGGAGATAGAACAGTCATCCATGGGTGATATAAATTGAGAATCGTTTATTACAAAGTAGCCTCCACAGAAGTCTTAAAGAGATTAAAGGTAAAAGAGTAATCTAAGCCAGACATGGGGGATTTGAGAGAGGGCCCAACTGTATATCTTCTACAGGATATGGGGGAAGTCCAGCTCCCTTCAAGGGTTCTCACCTTGAGGACACATAAACACACAGGCACAAAAGCCTGGCCTACCCTGGGTACCATCAGCGTTCACTCCTGGCACCTCTCATCACAGGAGTTCTCACTGTCAGGACGTTAATTACTGTCTGTCCCCCTTGTTAGTGACTGATTTTAGTGCATTTGCCGCATATGATTGTCAGGAGCACACACACTTTCCCAGTTTCAATGGTACAGAGAAGCTGGGCACAGGTTCATGAACAGTGTCTGCTAAAGACATGTTGTCCTTGCTGCTACCCCTAGAAAGATGCACCGGGAACACTGCAGGAATTGACTTCCCCGTGCAGGTCTTCACTCCAAGATACAGGATCAGTGAACAGGGAAGGATGTCTGTCAAGCTTAGAAAAGGATGCTCTGCTTTTTCATCTTCGAAACACCTACCTCATCATTTATTACAATGGCAAGGAACGGAGCTGCTAATGTTGACTGCATTGGGAATTTATCTTTTCAACTGGAAACTCACTTTAGTACATTTTTTTTTTTTAAGACCTGTATTGGCAAGAGCTATAAAGTAGTAGAATGACACTTGTTAAAGATACCATTGTTAGATTTTCAGTTCTCTAACTTTCCAGGCCGAGTAAGTTACTGTGAGAAATCCTATTTCTTCTGTAAAAATGTTATTCATTCAGATTGCACTGCTGCCTGAGCTCTTATCACTAGCAAATCCCAGAAGGAATGACTTATTAATTAGAGCTAATAATGTATCTGAAATTCTAACTTCTTAAGTTCTTAAATTACAGCATAATTCCCAGCCTAACAAGGATATCATTGGGTAGTTTTGTTATAATTTTCACTTCAGCCCTGGTCCAGTATCTAAATATCCCTGGTATGACGATAAACAAACAGAATGTAGGATTTGGTTGAGAATCACTGATGTATTGCTAAGCACATATTATAGTTATATTGTTTGGGAACCCATGCCCCAAGAAGAAAGATGGATTTACCATGTTACACCCTGCTTGCAGTTGATTTCTATCACAATAAGAACAAAATTCAGGTTCCTTAATCCTCCACGGGCCAGCAACATCTGTCCCAGGTCTCATCTGCTCACTCCCTCTCACTCACTCTGTTCCAGCCACACTGGCCTTATTTCCTACTCCCTTTCCTGATCTGGTCCTGGCCTCTGGGTCTGTGCACTGGCTGTTCTCTGTGCTAGAGTGTGCAGGAGAACACTCTAGACCAGATCTTTGCAAGGCTGGGTCCTCTTGTTTTTCAGGTCTCACTTCATCTGTCAGTCTCTCCCATCAGGAAGCTTCCAAAAGCCTCTTTGCCTTCTCCATCAGAGGGCAGACAAAATGAAAACCAGTCACAGAAAACTAACCAAACTGATCACATGCACCACAGACTTGTCTAACTCAGTGAAACTATGAGCCATGCCATGTAGGGCCACCCAAGACGGACGGATCAGAGTTCTTGCAAAACGTGGTCCACTGGAGAAGGGAATGGCAAACCACTTCAGTATTCTTGCCTTGAGAACTGCATGAACAGTATGAAAAGGCAAAAAGAACACTGAAAGATGAACTACCCAGGTCAGTAGGTACCCAATATGTTACTGGAGATCAGTGGAGAAATAACTCCAGACAGAATGAAGAGATGGAGCCAAAGCAAAAACAATACCCAGTTGTGGATATGACTGGTAATGGAAGTAAAGTACGATGCTGTAAAGAGCAATATTGCATAGGAACCTGGAATGTTAGGTCCATGAATCAAGGTAAATTGGAAGTGGTCAAATAGGAGATGGCAAGAATGAACATCAGCATTTTAGGAATCAGTGAAATAAAATGTATTGGAATGGATGAAGTTAACTCAGATGACCATTATATCTACTACTGTGGGCAAGAATCCCTTAGAAGAAATGGAGTAGCCATCATAGTCAACAAAAGAGTCCGAAATGCAGTACTTGAATGCAATCTCAAAAACAACAGAATGATCTCTGTTCGTTTCCAAGGCAAACCATTCAATATCATGGTAGTCCAAGTCTATGCCCCCACCAGTAATGCTAAAGAAGCTGAAGTTGAACGGTTCTATGAAGACCTACGTGACCTTCTAGAACTAACATCCAAGAAAGATATCCTTTTCATTATAGGGGACTGGAATGCAAAAGTAGGAAGTCAAGAGCTACCTGGAGTAACAGGCAACTTTGGCCTTGGAGTACAAAACAAAGCAGGGCAAAGAATAACAGAGGTCTGCCAAGAGAAGGCACTGGTCACAGCAAACACCCACTTCCAACAACACAAGAGAAGACTACACATGGACATCACCAGATGGCCAACACCGAAATCACATTGATTAGATTCTTTGCAGCCAGAGATGGAGAAACTCTATATCGTCAGCAAAAACAAGACCAGGAGTGGACTCAGATCATGTGTGGCTCAGATCATGAACTCCTTGTTGCCAAAATCAGACTTAAATTGAAGAAAGTAAGGAAAACCACCAGATCATTCAGGTATGACATAAATCAAATTCCTTACGATTATACAGTGGAAGTGACAAATAGATTCAAGGGGTTAGATCTGATAGAGTGCCTGAAGAACTGTGGACAGAGGTTCATGACATTGTACAGGAGGCAGTGATCAAGACCATCCCCAAGAAAAAGAAATGTAAAAAGGCAAAATGGTTATCTGATGAGGCCTTACAAATAGCTGAGAAAAGAAGAGTAGCTAAAGGCAAAGGAGAAAAGGAAAGATATACCCATTTGAATGCAGAGTTTCAAAGAATAGCAAGGAGAGATTAGAAAGCCTTCCTCAGAGATCAAT